GCTGTCCCACGCTGCGACGGAGGATACTAAGCTGGGAGGGTATACGGTCCCGAAGAACGCGAGTGTGGAGTTTTACACGGCCTGGTTGACGGAGGATCCGAATATGTGGGAGGATCCGAATGAGTTCCGACCCGAAAGGTTTTTGAGCGGGGATGGGGTTGACGTGGACGTGACCGGAACGAAAGGTGTGAGGATGATGCCCTTCGGTATAGGGAGGAGGATTTGTCCGGCGTGGAGTTTAGGCATGTTGCATATAAACTTGTTATTGGCTAAGATGGTGCAGGCTTTCCACTGGTTGCCCAATCCCAACGCCCCACCCGACCCGGCTGAGATATTCGCTTTCACTGTTGTCATGAAGAACCCTCTCAAGGCTGTTATTGTTCCACGATCCATTTAATTTAAGCAATGCACGTATTTCATTTTGTTACTCATTTAATATAATATAATATATGCTGCTTCTTTAATATATAAATATAGATAGTTTCTGGCGTAAAATATTACACTATTTTGTTTTAAAGGAGCAGATCTCCTTCCAATGTGTGTCCCTGCCTTGTAAGTGAAGGTGATATCTATATGATATGTAGTATCCAATTTTTATGATGCAATTCCATGTGAATTCGTCAAAGGGTTTTTTAATTCGTCTTCGGTTCTCAACACAATATTTTCCTATTTGATGTCTTGCTAGATGAGATAAGGGGCAATGTTTGACATGCCATACCACGTATAAAAATGGCTATGCATATGTTCTAGAAAACATCGTATACTGTTCTCCTAGGTAGTTTAGGCATGTCCAGAAAAACCTTGTAAAAGCTAAACTACAAAAAAAAAATCACAACGAGAGAGTGACTTAAGTCGGTAGCCAAAAAATGATTGAGAAAACTGTTCATAAAAGGTGCAAATAGTTAGAAAGGGTTTAGTTTAGACATTTATGATTTGTTTACCCTTTATAGACATTATTTCATGTCTGACTATTTATATTACACTCATTAATTATATTATATGTTATGTTTGCATTGATGCAAGATAACAAAAAAAATTATGATTTTGATTTTAATATTTAGATACCGTTAGTGTAATTTTAATATTTAGTTTAAGAATGAGTTTCCGATTGGATTAAATATTAATTTACCTATAATTTCATTAAAGTAAATTATTATATAGTTTAAAAAAAATTATATATTATAGATCACGTGTTTACTTCAAGTTGTCTTTCTCCATTTAGAGTTTCCGTTTTAATTGTTTGGAAATACTCTAATCAATTAAATTCACCTAAAATATTTTTCTCAAACTCAAGTTAGTTTAATATTTGATTGGTTTAATAATTAATATTATAATAAATGCGTTTTAAATATTTAATTTATATTTATAATTTTTTTTATGAATTTCTAATTAGAATTGATTTAATCATAATTCAATTTTGTTAAAAATAATTATTAATTTGTTTAATTTAGCTGGATGATCAGGATTTAATCACAGTCCCATTCCTCCCAGAATGGATAATCAGTCTGGGAGTTGGTTAATATAATATACTCTCTCTATATAGTATTTTTTTTTATCATCACAAACAAACTAGAAAAAGTCACTCTTTAATATTTTTTCTTTCTAAACATATTCCAACAGATTATGTTTCACAGTGGAATTTCATTTCCCGCTCAAAATTTAACTTGAATCCTAAAGTTTTTATATCTTAAAATTACAATATTTTAATGTGCTAATTAACTTTGTCCTATATATTTTTCTTTAGGATGACAACGGGTCAGACATGAATAATATTTACCTATAACTCGATCTAAAATAAATTCACTCGCTCTCCACCCACTACTTACATGAATAGTCGTTTAAAAATATTCACGGATATTTTAAAACCTACGAATACCCGTACATAGTTAAAAATATTTAAAAAATATATATTTTTATAATTTATTAAAGTAAATTTAAATAAAAATACAAAAAATATATAAAAGATAATATAAATTAAGTTAATTATAAATTAAATTTTATTTTTAATTAAATTTAACTTTAAAAATATAAATTAATTTTAATTAAATTTAACTTAATAAAATATAAATTAATTTTAATTAAATTTAACTTAATAAAATATAAATTAATTTTTTATTTTTATTTTTTGTAAGTAACGGATATCAATGAGTACAAATAATATAATATCCACAATCGACCCATTCATAAACGAGTATTAAAATACTCGTTAAAGTAAATAAAGTTATCATAAAGTTAGTAGAAAACAATTACCAAGTAAAACTTTAAAATAAAAAAAAAAAAAGAAAAAAGGTTGAATAATAAAAACGGAGAAAAAAATGAAGTGTGATATTGGATGAGAAAGTAAGTATGCAAGAGAAACCAGAGACCATACACATATGTTTGATTTAAAAGACATTAATTTAAAAAGTTAATAAATAATAATAAATTTGGATAGATGAGGTGTGTATGTGGTTGTTGTGGCAGTAAGTGTAGGAAGGGTGTTAAAAATTGATTGAATGAAGAGGAAGATGTGATTGTAGTTGGGAGAGTAAATAAAATCACCCTTAAAGAGTGACAACAAAACATACAGATTAAAATTGGTAGTTGGATAGAGCAGTTGAAAATAACACTCTCAACCACATCCATTCTCTTCCATTCCCATCAAATTTCAATTTCTTTTTCTTAATCTTCTCATATAACACATTAATTTATCATCTTCCATATGATAGAATCAAGTCCATTACCTCGTTCAGACAGCATGTGACAGGAAGAACTTTTGCCAATGAATCATTCGAAACAGACCATCATTAATACGTACCCGTTCTATTTTTCAATCAACTTCATTTTCAACCATTTTCTTAATCGAGTTGGTCATCCATTTTGGAAAGAAAAAAGGATTGACTGATGTTTTTTTAGAAAGAAGATTAATCATTGATTATTTTCAACTTTCTATCATATTTATATAATCATATCTATGTGATGTACGATTACTATGTTATTGGTCCAATCATTAAGTTATTACGAGATTAACTTTAACATTGATTAACTTAATAAAGCATGATTACTATCAACTGAATGGTAATTAGGATGTTGATAATCAAAAATTTAATCTAAAAATTATAAATATAGGTTTTAGGTAAAGAGACATGTGATTGCATTTATTATGCATTAACAGTTATAACTAGCAATCAAATGCTGACTTTGACATGGAAATATTTTTTACAAATAATCTCCTAGTTTGACCAGAGGTCAAACAGAAATAAAGACAAACACTTGAATATATAAAACTTATAACCTTCATCCCCTAACTAAAAATGGTATTATATGACATTTTACCGGTTAAGTTTGAAAGATCTAATATAACATGTCTTCTAACACCTATAACAAATACTAATGAAAATTATCAATTTAATTAATATGTAATATTCTACTATTTAAAAAAAAAGCATAATTTATAAAAATGCGGTATCATTTTTATAATTTTTGATAAAGTATTAGATACAATTTAAATAAAATCATAATTTATGTTTTGAAAGTCAGATAATAAATTATAATTTTATCTAAAAATCGTAGTCTATATCCTTTTTCTAGGATAATTATTTTGAAACTTTTAGTTGTCGTTGATGTTTAGTTGCATCTCGTGTAATGTCACGATTCTTTTTATATAATGTTAAAAACACTTTTTTTTTTCATTTTTCATCTATTTTTCTCAATTTTTTTCCTTGATTTAGAACTACGCTAGCTAGTTAAGGCACGTTTCCCTCTTCCTGTTGCACACACGGACATAAAAATTAGGTTTAATTAGTGATTTAATCTTCTAATTGATTGGTTTTGTTTATTTTAGTTTTCTTATTATTTTTAGTTTAATTTAATTATTTAATTTTTTACAAATATTTAATTTGGTTATTTACGTTAAACTTCATATATGTCATGTCAAATTATGGTCGTATCACGTCATACTCATGTTATTATAAGATAATCTAACGAACGATAAATTATATATTTTTTTAAATTAAATTTTTACAAAGTGACACGTATTATGTACGAACACAATATGAACGTGATGTGAAATAATCAAATTAAAATTTTTAAAAATTAGAATAACTAAATTAAATAAAAAATAAATAAACTAAAATAAATCAAACTAACAAATTAGAGAATTAAATCAACAACTCTAAAAATTGTGCAAAATAGTTTATACTCGATAAATATATCTTATTGGCGGACATAGTCACTATTATTGGCTATGCATCAATTTGATGAATTATATAAAAGTATGAAATAAACTACCAGGAAATAATTACTTTTTAAGTTGTAGAAAATAATAAGTAAGTTAATAAGAAAACTCACTTAATATTTCTAAAAAAAAATATAAAAAAGGGTGAGATATTGGGTGGTGGCTTTTCCCAACTTGTGTTTTGTTTCACACTTACAGAACTCAGACGTCATTAAAAATATTCACTTGTGTTTTTCATTTTTTTTATCACATTATGGGTATTTTAAAGAATATGTAAATTTTTATCCAAATAAAGAGTTTTCTCGGTACAAAAACTATATAAAATTCAAACAATATCATCTCTTATATTCTTGTTATCTTATATTAAAAAACAATAAATTTTATTCTTAAAGAGTTATTTTTCTCTCTTATTTAATTTCCAAAAATAAAAAAAAATTATATAAATAATATCGAGCATTATAAAGTATACTAACTAATTTCACAAAATTAAAAAAATCCTTTAAATTATTTTCTAAACGTAATAAAACATATCAAAGGATTAATGTTTTTTGTTTAGGTTTTAAAATAAGTAATTATTTTAGTAAATTAAGTTTATGTGTTTGTCTAATTTAGTCATTGAAAAAGTACTTTTTATTTATTTAAATATGATCTGTTTAATAGATCAGTAATTATTTAAAAAATATTTTAAATTTAAACAACTTATTGGAGAGATGAATTGGATGATTTAATATTTGAAAATGTGAGGGAGGAACTATGACCAATTAGACAGTGGTATGGGAGAGTTGAATTTACTAGGGTACTCCCAAAGATAGAAACGCAGCAAGAGTCTCGGTAAGGAGAAATGGAGTGGTGCGTGTCAATGCCAAAGATAGAACTACATGCTCACCTCAATGGATCCATCAGAGACTCCACACTTCTGTAACTTGTTTTCTTTTATTTTTCATTCACTCTTTATGCTTTTCCCATTCTCCAACATTCTGAAATTTTGCATTTTTCTTCCACAGAGACCTCGCTAGAGCTTTGGGTGACAAGGGTCTCATAGATTTCTCCCAGGTCGAGCATGTTATCCTTAAAAGTATGCCCCTTTTTCTTCTCCTACATCCTTCTTGTGCTTGATGTTAACTTTGGATTTCAATCCCACGTTTAAGTTGTGTTTTGCTGCGTGGCTCATTTTGTTTGCGAAAAAGGGTACGAAATTAATGACAATAAAAGAGGAAAAAGAATATCAGAATGAAAAAGGCAAAAGGGGTACAACCTGAAATTCAAATTTTTTGAATTTATGGACTGTTCCTGATTTTTTTTTTGAATCTGCTGCAAGCAGGACTTAGCCCCATATATACCCATTTTTTGTGTTTTAAAGCTCGAATTTGATTATGGCTATTTAAATACAGATGATCGTTCATTAAGTGAGGTATTCAAGTTGTTTGACTTAATCCACATTGTTACGACCGATCACTCGAGTATTACCAGAATTACCAAAGAGGTATGTTATTGTCTTCGTGCCCACTGCCTACCATTTGTATTGTATTATTCCATTTTCTTTTTTCTTTTGCATTTATGCAAACAACTTGTACAAGCAGGTTGTTGAAGATTTTGCATCTGAGAATGTTGTATATCTGGAGCTGAGAACCACACCAAAGGTAACATGTGGAGCTCGGTTGGTTATTTTGTTTGTTCTTGTTTCCATGGATTGGATGAGGAAAGCGTTTTCGTAATTATGTGTAGAAAAATGATTCCCTAGGAATGAGCAAACGTTCTTACGTGGAAGCTGTTCTGGAAGGTCTAAGAGCTGTCAGTTCAGTAGATGTGGCTTTCATTCCTAACAGCGAGGAGCCTGTGAATCTTTCAAGCACATTACTCTCAGATGCGAGTGATAAATGTAATGGAAACACTAGAAAAAAAATATTTGTTAGGCTCCTCTTGAGCATTGACCGTAGGGAGACAACAGAAGCGGCAATGGAAACGGTGAGATTCTAAGCAGAAGTATTTTGGCCAAAGTTAAGTCTGTTTGTTACTGACTTGGAGCACTTTACTTATCTGCTGCAGGTCATGCTTGCACTGGAAATGAGGCGTTTTGGGGTTGCTGGAATTGACCTTTCTGGGAATCCAGCTGTTGGTGAATGGTATATCAGATTGATCTTGGACTCTAGTGAAGTGATTTATTTGATGTTTTAAAAATTGATGCTAGAGCCAGTCTTATCTTTTGTAGGATTACATATCTGCCAGCATTGATGTTTGCTCGACAGCAAGGTCTTTATGTAACTCTTCATTGTGGAGAGGTGATTAATCTTTTCTTTGTACCTTTTATCCTGGTGTTTCTCTGGCAGTTTTTTCTTTCTGACTGTGAGTTCAGGTATCAAATTCAAAGGAGATACACAATATGCTTGACTTTCTCCCGCAGAGGATTGGGCATGCTTGTTTCTTCGAGGAAGAACATTGGAGAAAGCTGAAGTCGTCTAACATTCCGGTCAGACCGTTACTTTAGTTATATTAATGTTAACGCAACAAAAAAAATGGTAGTGTGTCTTGATTTACGTGATTTACGTTATATATAAACAGATGACTTATCCATCGTGTTTTTCATCTTCATTTTCAGGTTGAAATTTGTTTGACATCAAACATTAGAACATTGTCTGTTCCAACGATAGATGCACATCATTTTGGTAGGATATTTTGTTTATTTTTGAAATCGATGATGATAACTAAAAGAAACTCAGTGTTTGTCCAACTTTACATGAGATTTTACGGGCTTAAAAGTGATTTGTATTTTGATTACCAAGGCAATTTTTTCTTTTTTAATTTTACTTTTGGTTGACAAAGGAGAGAAGTTTTGGGCTAGCTACAAGTTTTGAAACAGTTACAAAACAGTGATACTTGCTTTCAGATTTTCTTTCCCCCACTTGAAGCTAGTTATCCCGAATGAGCCTGAGAAAAAGTGCCCCTTCTTTTCAAGAGAAGCTGATTCTCTCTCTTAACACCATGCGTTTGTTCGTGCAGTTGATTTATACAATGCAAAACATCCTTTAGTCCTGTGTACTGATGACTCGGGCGTATTTTCTACCAGTCTCTCCAACGAATATAAGATCGCTGCTTCTACGTTTGGTAAGATTTCACTTTTGTCTTGCAGCCAGTGGAATTCAAACTAATAGCTAAACTCTGCTGACTGCTTGTTGGTTTGCCTAATATCCAGGCCTTGGACAGAAGGAAATGTTTGAGCTATCAAAGAACTCCATCGAGTTTATATTTGCAGATGATGTAGTAAAGGAGGCTTTAAGAAAAACTTTTGATTCAGCAGCTAAGAGTCTGACATTGTAGGTAGAGTGTCACACTGTGGTGATATGGTGATGTTTTTAGGTATATGTTGATGAAGTGACTCTCGTATGAGCCAATTTTATATTTGACCAGTTGGAATAATGGGCGGCTATGAACTAGTCCACTTTGCCATACAACTGAACAAAATACCCTTTTGGAGGCTTCAATCCAAACAGCTTAGGCAGTAATCCACCTTGTCTGTTAAGTTGATAGATAGGCATATGTGAAAGGTAACATAAATTGACTACAATGATTTTTCACCCTCACGGCATCTTTTGGACTTCATTATTGATGATCATTAAGTTTGCATTTAGTTCTGTCAATGTATAGTGTTTTATGTTTAAGTAACTAAATATCTAACACTGGATACCAAACTCTGACCGCTAGAGTTGTGGTTAATTCCTAATCACACGGCTAACATTTCCTATAATCCTTCATTAGCGGAGGAATGCTTAAGTATGGTCAAAGTCGTGACATGTCGTGTTGAACTTATTTGGAAAAACAACTGCTTGCCACAGTTGAAGTTGTTCAGTAAAAATAAGTTTTAAAATCAATAATTTGATTTCGAATTTTGTAATGCATCAATAAGGTGTAAAAATTCATTAGTTATATGCAATATGTTATTCAAGGATAACGAGAATTTTTTACACTGATGATAGACTCAAAAGAAAATAACAAAAACTTTTCTTTTTATGGGAATCCAAGCCCTTAAACCTAAGTCGCTACTAATAATTTTCTTCAACCAAATAAAATTTACACAATTTCAAGTAAGACTTTTCTCACCACTTCACTTCAAGATAATGCTTTTGTATGCACTTTCATCTTGAAATCTGTTAGTTAAGTTCTTGAGTCTTCTACCAAATAGCCGGCCAAGGTTTCTTCCTTTAAATGTAATACAAAACCCAAATTAAAGTTCAACAGCCTTATTGCCTTCGATCCATAATTTAATATTTTATAAACAAGTATATTTTTCAAACTCGACATCTACGAAATATCGTAATTGCAGTACTATAAAATAAATAAATAAATAATAAATACCTAACATCCTTGAAAATCAAACGTTAACTAATGCGTAGCATTTATTTGTCCAAAACAGTGTCTTTCTTTCTTTTCTCTTTTCTTTAAAGAAAAGAAATAAGGGAAGAAAGAAAGAACACTGAATTTGATGGCATAGGTGCGCATGTGGGTTGACGGGTAACACAGCTTGTGTTCGTCTTCTGAGTTAGTGTGCGCTAAAGCTGATTACATTATTCTGTTTTCCGGTATTTGTTGAAACATCAATCAGCATTCGGCATTCAACCGCACGATCCGATTCGGATCCGAATGCGGCAGCGTAACGTAGAGGTCATTCTCATCGACAATTCAATGGGAGTACGTAACTGAATCGTGAATTCTCGATCCAAAATCGACAATGTCTTGGGGTTTGGGTTGGAAGAGACCTTCGGAGATTTTCCACCTCACTCTCAGCTATGGCACCGATGATCCGCCGGAGAATATCGCTCGCACCTCATCCTCTTCCCGGTCCTCCTCTTCCTCCTCTTCTTCGTTGTCTTCGTCCGCTTCCACTTCCTCAATCATCTCTCAGGATCAGGACCTCGGGTTTCGCATTGAATTGGATTGGTCAGCGTCGGAGGACGAGGACCAGGTGGCGCTGAAGCTTCAATCGCAGCTGATGGTGGCGCTGCCGATGCCGCAGGACACGGTGGTGGTTGAACTCTCGCCTCGGGACGATGATGAGAGCGTGGTGGATTTGGTAATGAAGGTTGTTAAGCGACGAGAGCCTCTCAGAGCGGTCACAATGAGCAAAGTTGTTGCCTCCGGTCAGCAGAGCGACGGCACTGGCGTTTTGATACGCTTGTTGCGCTCTGATTTGCCGTCCTCCACGCCGCCGTCGACGCCAATCGTTGGAGATGCCGCCGTTTCCGGCTCCGGCAACCACTGGACCAGTCTCTCTGTTCTGAGCCTATGTGGTTGTGGCTTGTCGGTGAGTGTTGCTTACTCTTTGATGGAACTCGCACTCCTGTGGTTTATACCTGCTGCCAAGACAAGTGAATTTTGTGAATCTGTTGTTTGTTTGTGTGATATGTGTAGTTTCCGAAATTGGAAGTGTTAGTCAGTGATTCGTTTGATCTCTGCTATATTCTATGGTAACATATGAAGGATTTAGGCTATGTTTGGATAAAAGTTAGGAACATGCATTTGTAAATTCTAATTCGTGATCCCGACTTTCAAGGTATAAAATAAAGAAACAAGAATTTGTTTCTTTGGAAACAAAAGTACTTCTTAACTCAAGTAGCATCTAAAAATACACTTGTATTGTATTATTATGTCTTCTTGCCTTGCTTTTTCCCTCCTTGGTGATCAGGAAGTGCTCGTATAATTGTGGTGGAGTTGAAGTCAAATGTTATTGAGTTGGATCGGGGATGTTTTGAGCACGTTGTTACTATGTACAGGTATTTCCAGTGGAGCTTACACAATTGCCACACCTTGAGAAACTCTATCTTGATAACAACAGGCTAAGTGTTTTGCCGCCTGAGCTCGGTGTGCTAAGAAGCTTAAAAGTGCTCAGGGTTGACAGCAACATGGTTGTTTCGGTGCCTGGTAAGCTTTCATTGTTTGACCACTACCATAGATGATAGAGGTAAACTAGATGTGTTCAAGTGTGCCTATCAGTGGTGGAAATATTTGTATATCCTCTAATATAAGTATACTGAGTAAACATCTTCAGATAGATCTACGTGAAAGTAAATGAGTAATAATGTTAGATTACATGCAGCTTCCAACTTAACACAAAACATAGAAAGCATGATTGCATTGGGTACGGGAAGTCCTAGCCCCACTTACTGCACCAACATACTTGATTAACCTTATGGAGTTGGGGAACAAACCCAATGTTCAACCCTGCAGTATCTACACTTGGGATATTTCCTTAAGTAACTGATACTAAGATTAGTGTTTCTAATAAAATAAGTCCTTGTATCTGATTTTTATTTCTTTGAGCAGCGGAACTGAGACAGTGTATGCAGTTGGTGGAGTTGTCATTGGAACATAACAAGCTTGTTAGGCCACTTCTTGACTTCAGGTTTTTGGTTTAGAAGATTTTGTATAAACTAGTCTAGACTCCACGTAATCCTCTGGTCTTATTGTTACCACTCATGGCAGGGCTATGGCTGAACTTCGGGTTCTTAGGCTATTTGGAAATCCTCTTGAGTTTCTTCCTGAAATTTTGCCCCTCCATAAACTTCGCCACCTTTCTCTTGCAAATATTAGGATTGTGGCAGATGAAAATTTGAGATCGGTGAATGTGCAAATAGAGGTAGCACTTTACAAACTAACTAGACTACTTCTGACATTATCCTTTTAAAACCTAACACGTTCAATTAAATATGTTTTTTCTTGTCAGTACAGATGGAAAACAGTTCTTATTTTGGTGCTTCTAGGCATAGACTCAGTGCCTTCTTCTCTCTTATATTCCGCTTTTCTTCTTGTCATCATCCTTTACTAGCATCTGCACTGGGAAAGATAATGCAAGATGAAGGAAATAGAGCCTTTATAGGTAAAGATGAGAATGCAGTGCGACAGCTTATAAGCATGATAAGTAGTGACAACAGTCATGTGGTATGTTTTACTGGGTCTAGATATCACAATTTTTAAAACCTTTTCTACTGCTATTTGGTGACTGTCCTTAATATTTTACAGGTTGAACAAGCCTGCTCTGCTCTTTCATCCCTTGCCTCTGGTGATTCCGTAGCATTGCATCTGATGAAAGCAGACATCATGCAACCAATTAGGACAGTTCTGAAGTCTGGTGGTCTGGAAGAGGTAATATCTGTATTGCAAGTTGTGGTCAAGTTGGCTTTCACTTCTGATAGTGTGGCTGAGAAGATGTTGACCAAGGATATTTTAAAATCATTGAAAAACTTATGTGCCCATAAAGATCCAGAGGCAAGTTAGTTTCTTTTCATAGATAGTGATTTAATTGATTCCTTGTATTGCATAGTCCTTTAAGTTTTAGGTTTGTCCTTCTATTAGGTACAAAGGCTAGCATTGTTAGCTGTTGGGAATTTAGCCTTCTGTCTGGAAAATCGTCGAATACTTGTTACTTCTGAAAGCTTACGAGAACTTCTCTTGCGCCTGACTGTTGCAACTGAGCCACGTGTTTATAAAGCTGCTGCTCGTGCTTTGGCAATTCTTGGTTTGTCTTTGTATATAAAATTCATTTGTTTCTTAAGATGTTTTATCCTGATCACTGAAAGGGCTTCTTCATTTTTTTTCTTTTGTAGGAGAAAATGAAAACCTGAGGCGCGCAATTAAGGGGAGACAAGTGGCAAAGCAGGGACTACGCATACTCGCAATGGATGGAGGTGGAATGAAAGGTCTAGCAACTGTACAAATGCTAAAGGAAATTGAAAAGGGATCTGGAAAACGAATACATGAGTTGTTTGATTTAATATGTGGCACTTCAACGGGCGGAATGCTAGCTGTTGCGCTTGGGATTAAGTTAATGACTTTGGAAGAATGTGAAGATATATACAAAAATCTTGGTAAGGATGTTGCTTAGGAATGGTATATGTCATTTATTTATTCTCTATCAATCTGTATATTTCTACAATTCTAGATGAACTCATTCAAAACAATTGGTATCAGGGAAGCTTGTTTTTGCTGACTCTGTTCCCAAGGACAATGAAGCTGCTACTTGGCGAGAAAAATTGGATCAACTTTATAAAAGTTCATCACAGAGCTTTAGGGTTGTTGTTCATGGATCAAAAGTATGTACTTCTTTCCATTATGCTGCTGCATTAACACTTTTTTTTTATAAAACTCATGTCAGGTATTCACTATGTACTTTTGGGAAGTCAGCTATGCCAACACCTTAAAGGATATCTATCATTTGTTATTACATGAAAATTTATTAAACAAAAAGAAAAACGATGAAACAAAAAGCATGGGGGGATCAAACCAAATGTTAGCATTGACATTTACTTGTCATATGTATATGTTTGTGTATCTATATATAATAGGCATTTGACAACTTACACTCGCCAAATTTTAGGAGTAAGTAAATAAGTTATAGCGACTTCCGTCTTTTGTGCAACTTGTTACTCTTTCTAGAAAA